CAGTGACTCGATTTGTTTGGCCGGCGTTGACCGGGTTGGGGTACGCCGTCGTTGTTCAGGTCGCACCGTTGTGGGAGGAAGAGATCCGTGTTGCGGTGAAACGATACTTCCAGGTCCTGAAATATTAAAATTACCGGATTTCTTATGGGATCCTCTTGTTTTCCAAGCATTTCTTAAATTCCATGCAAAATATATGGAAAAAAAATGTACTTGAAATGCTGCCAATATGAAAACATACCATAATAAACCATAGGGTAAACCTTGCCACATTATAATATCATCATTTTCTCCTGATCTAAGAGAAGTCCAAACATCATGGAAATAATACATGGCGCTAATTATTACGTCCATTATTATTGGTGACCTTTTGACATTTTTCTGGTAGTATCATTTTCCTTTTTTCATAAAACTCTTTAGTTTTAGGAGCAAAAAACTGGTCCAATGCAGTACAATTGACCTCATTGTTGTTTTGGAATTTTTGTCCGTTCAAAAAATTTTTTAGGGATCGGAAAAAATGATAATTATTTGGAGCTAGTTTGGGACTATATAGAGGGTGCAACAAAACATCCCAGCCTAGCTCCAGTAGTTTTTGTCCAGTGGCTAAAGATGGGGAGGGCCTGGCATTATTGTGGTGAAAGACAATTCTTTTGCTATTGGCTAGCTCCGATCGTTTTTTTTGGACAGTATCATTTAAATTTGTCAATTGTCAAATGTAAACCTCTGAATTTATGATCTGACTTCGTGGCAGCAGCACAAAGTTGACTAAGTCTTTGTAATCCCACCAAACTGACAACAGCACCTTTTTTTGGTGAATATCAGCTTTAGAAGTTCTAAGGTGCCTGTTTCCTTGCCTAGACCAGAATCTTTTTTTCAAAAAGTCATCATAAACAACCCACTTTTCATCTCCGGTCACCATTTCCTTCAAAAATGGATCATTCGCATTATGTTTAAGAAGCATATCACAAAGACCAAGTCGTCTTACACTCCCCAAGGCTATGCAACAAGC